GTGTGTGTGTGTGTGTGTGTGTGAGAGAGAGAGAGAGAGTGTGTTAGTGATAATGTGTGATGGTTCTCTGCTTTCTCTCTGTTCTCAGGCTGATTCTGTGAACAGTGACTCCAGAGCTGCAGGTGAGAGTCAAATCACTTCATCATCTCTCTGCACTTCCTGTTTACGGTGAACATCGTGACCTCAAACGCTCTTCGTGTTTCTCTTCCAGACAAACCAGACGTGGTGAAGAAGCCCTGGGAGAAACCGTCGTCTGTGTCACGGTAAAAACAGATCTCTGACGCTTCAATCAACCTGCTGTGTGATTCAGACGGGGGTGTTTGATTGTTACATTTATATTTTCATTTTCATTTTAGTTATTTGGTTATGTGCTTTTGTCATTTGTATTATTTGTTTATTCTAAATAGGTTTACTTTACTTTTAATTTCAGTTTTAATTTGATTTCAGCCATCAATTGCAGTACTTAAACCTTTTTTAGTTAATTGTTTATCTAATATTTGTTTCATTTCAGCTTTCTTTCATTTAACAATGTTTTAATAGTTTTAGTTAACAATGACAACACTGGTTACAGAAATTGTATTTGTTTTTCAAAAAATAGTATTTGTTTTTGTTTTATAAAAAATATTTCTTCAGTTTGTTTCATTTCAGTTTTAATTTTAGTTTTATTCAATTTAGTATTTTTAGTACTTAAACTTATTTCAGTTAGTTGCCAATGCGATATTTTAAAATTGTATTTAAAATTTGTTTTATTTTTAGTATTTGTTTTATTTGATTTCAGCTTTATTTCAGTTAACAAAAATGTTTTTAATAGTTTTAGTTAACAATAACCACACTTGTTTAAAAAAAAGTATTAGTTTTTAATATTTCTAAATTGTTTAAAATTTATTTTTTTTATTTCAGTTTTAATTTTATTGCAGTTTACATGTCAGTTTTATTTAATTTAGTGATTTTAGTATTTAAATTTATTTCAGTTAGTTGTCAAGGCAATATTTAAAAATTGTATTTTTGTTTTATTTTTAGTATTTGCTTTATTTCATTTCAGCTTTATTTCAGTTAACACAAATTTTTTTGATAGTTGTAGTTTTAGTTAACAATAACCACACTTGTTTAAAGAAAATTATAAGTTTAAAAAAAAAAATATTTCTAAATTGTTTAAATTGTATTTTATAATAAAAACAAAAAAATTTAATTTTATTGCAGTTCACATGTTAATTTTATTTCATTTAGTGATTTTAGTATTTAAATTTATTTCAGTTAGTTTCCAAGGCAAAATTTTAAATATATATATTTTACTTTATTATTTTTTAATCCAGCATTTGTTATATTGTATTTTATCTTTTAGTTAATTTTATTTGTATTTCAATTTTAGTTTTATTTAATTTTATTTCAATTTTAGTACTTACACTTATTTCAGTTAGTTGGCAATATTTTACAATCAATTCAATTTTGTATTTTTTTTCTATTGTTTCAGCAGTTCACAAACATGTTTTTAATAGTTCTGGTTAATGATTTCTATAGTTGAATAGTTCTAGTTTTGGTTAACGATAACTGGTTTTGAACAGGGTGAATTCAGCGCCTAAGAGTCAGGACAAGAGCCCGGTGTCTCCTGCGACTGCGGCTCCGTTGAGCAGGTACGTCTCGCTCCGCTTCACTGAGTTCTGCTGTTGAGCGTCTGAAGATCGAGCTGAAGATCCGTGTGTTTGGCTTCTTCCCGCAGGACGAGGCCCGGCAGCAGCACAGGAGACGCCGCAGACATGGAGAAACTCAAACAGGTCAGCAACACCATCACACACACACACACACACACACACACTCTCTCTCTCTCTC